CTGCGTCTTCTGCACCCGCATCAGCACGCAGCAGCAGCAGCGCCGCCGCCGCCGCGGCGGGGTCGAGCGCATCGACGGCCGCAGGTCCGGCGCAGCACCGGTCGCACCAGTCGCACCAGTCGCACCAGTCGCTCGCCAACGACGACGTCGTGTTCGAGATTGGCGACGATGACGAGGCGGACACGTCGCATGGCGCCAAGTCGAGGGGCGCGAGGGAAGAGGGGGGCAGCGAGGGCGAGAGGATGGGCCTGATGCACGACCACGAAGGGTCGCAGGAGACGCTGGTGCCGGGACGCAAGGGTGGCGACAAGCTCGACTGATGTCGTCTAGGCAAGGGGCTGAGCACCTCAAGAATCTCGCTGTCGGGGGGGAATGCGGTCGAGGTCGCGGATGGTGGCTGGTGCCGGCCAGAGCGAAGCAGGCGGGAGGTCGAGCGGTCACCGCTCGCAAAGTGGAGGGCGCCACGGGGGTGCCGGCCGAGAGGGGGCGCCGGCCGCAATTTTTTCCTCGCGGGCAGGGGCAGACGAGGTGCCGCGCTGCCGCCGCTCGCCAACTTTTTTTCCCCTTTGCGGTGGCCGCCCCGCCCTTCCTTCCAAACCCTACCTCGCACGCCTCGCCTCCATAGACATCACCCACACACACCAACACCCTCCTTGCCATTCTTTGCCCAGCTCCGCGCGACTCGCTCGTTCCTCCTGCCACCTTCCGAGACCCCGTCCACAACGCCGCATCCCGGGTCCTGCGCCGCCTCACGTTCGTTCCTTCCATCGAGGAGCCCGGAAAGCGTCCATCCCAACGGCTCCGCCTCTCGGGCAGCCGAGGACACCGCCCTCCCCTTGATCCTCCGCTATGGCCGGATCGAGAAGCGCTGCCAGTCCCACGAAGAGGGCATCGGCGTCGGCGTCGACAGCGACAGCATCGCCAGTGTCGGCACCGTCCGCGCCAGCGACTCCCAAAACTAAGCCAGTCGCCGGCCTCACGCCCAATCGCGCTGGAATGGCGGCTAGCACGCCATCTCGCCCTGCCGCCAACGGCGCCTCGGGCCATGCCAGCTCCCCAGCCTCTGCTGCAAAGCCTGCCGCGGCAGCCACTGTCGACGACGACGTCGAGATGAGCTCTGCCGTCGCAGCGCCCGCGTCGGCGCCCGGCCCCAAGCCCAAGAAGAAGAAGGCAGAACACTCGGGCACCCGGTGGTCGGCCCACGGCATGCACTGGGACACGCTCGTCGAGGGCAAGATGTCGGACCTGCCCGTCGTCTTCACCCGCGACGCCGACTACTTCTTCCTCGCTTCCAAGGCGTCGATCAAGATCTACTCGCGCACCACCGGCCAGGTCGTCTCCACCCTCTCGTCTGACGCCCACGCCCACACCGCCACCATCACTGGCATGCTCCTCAACCCGTCGAATCCGCTCCAGCTCATCACCGCATCGCTCGACGGCCAGATCAAGGTGTGGGACTTTCTCGACGGCGTCCTCCTCAAGAGCCTCGACGTCGGCCTGCCCATCACCTCGCTCGCGGCCCACGAGCTCTTCAGGGGCATGGTGTTCGTCGCCGTTCGAAAGCCCAGGCACGAGGCCGACAGCGCTGGCGACGCCGGCTCCGGAAAGGGTAGCAAGAAGAAAAAGGCCGGCAAGGGCCACGCCGGCGCCCTCGACGCCCACGACGACGACCCGTCCGCGCGCCACAACAGCATCATCTACACAGTCTCGCTCACGGCGACGGCGACCAAGGTTGCGCCTACGACGCCCGGCGCCGCGGTCAAGCCGGAGCTGCTGCGGATCGGCAAGACGCGCGAGGCGGCCGCGCTCGGCATCTCGCCCAACGGCAAGTGGCTCGTCGTCATTGGCAACCGCAAGGTCCAGGTGGCTCGGACGTCGAACCTGCGCGGCGGATTCACCAAGTTTGTCACGGCTGCCCAGGGGGCCAGCGCCGAGACGGGCGACCGCCTCACCTGCATGGCCTTCCACCCGACCGAGGATGCGCGGCTGGTCACGGGCGACGACCGTGGCCGGATCCGCGTGTGGTACTGCCTCGACGACCGGTACATGGCCGACACCGACGCATCGGGCGGCCCTGCCATGGAGCGGCATGCGCCCTCGACGGTGCTGCACTGGCACGCCCACGCCGTCTCGTCGCTGGCCTTTACTCCGAACGGCGCCCACCTGCTCTCGGGAGGCGAGGAGGGCGTCCTCGTCGTCTGGCAGCTGGCAAGCTCGGGCGGGAACGGCGCGTCCAAGGAGTTCGTGCCCCGCCTGGGCGCCCCCATCAGCAGCATCGCCATCGCCAACGGCCTCGACGGGCGCGAGCAGGAGTTTGCGCTCGGCCTTGCCGACGGCACCGTCACGTTTATTGGTTCGATGAACCTCAAGCCGACCCGATCGTTTTCGCGGATCAAGATCGACTCGTCGCGCCACCTTCTGTCGTCGTCGTCGTCGTCGTCATCGGCCAACCGGCTCGGGCTGGACAGCGCGGCGCGGCAGGCGGCGCTGGCCGCCAAGGCGCACGGCCTGGCGCTCGCCATACATCCCTCGACGGGCAACCTGGTGCTGCCCTCTGGCCATCCCTCGTCGATCCAGTTCTACGACGCCGAAAAGGACTCGAACGCCATGGAGCTCGAGATCGCCCCCTCGAACCGAGTCTCGCGCGCCGACGACGACCCGATCGAGCCGACGCGCGTCGAGAAGGTCGTCTTCTCCACCGCGGTCAGCGACAAGACGGGCGAGAGCGGAGAGTGGATGGTGACCTTCGACTCGCGCAACTTGGTCGACGACGCCGCCGCCGGCACCGCTGGCGACGCCGTCGAAGACGATGGCGACTCTGACGGCTCGGCCTCGCAGCAGCTCCTGCGCACGCGCGTCATCAGCGAATCGAGCCTCAAGTTCTGGCGGTGGGACCTCATCAACCGCCGCTATGTGCTCAACACCCGCATCGACCGCCCGCACAACGGCAAGCGCCTCACGTCGATCACCTTTTCCCCCTCGTCGGACGGCTACCTGCTGGTTACGACGGGACGCGACGGCAAGATCCGCACCTGGAGCCTGACGGCGCGCGCGCTCAAGTCCGGGCGCACCGAGTCATACTGGACCTGCCGCTCGTGCTTCCAGTACCGCGAGGCGATGCCCCTCTGCAGCTCCTTCTCCCCCGACGGCTCGCTGCTGGCCGTGGGGCAGGGCAGCTACGTCACCTTCTGGCAGCCCGAGACCAACCTGCTCCAGATGACGCTGAGCTGCCCGGAGCTGCGCCACCGCATCAAGCAGATCAAGTTTGTCGGCCCCAATGGGCGCTGGGTCGTCGTGGCGAGCGCACGCAGCGTCGTGGTGTGGGACCTCGTGCTCGGCCGAGTCTGCTGGCGGCGCGACCGGCTGGGCTTTGGCCCTCTGCAGAGGCAGCTGTCGGGCTGGTCGGCGTCGCCGGGCGGCGCCGAGGGCAGCGAGCGCGAGGGCGGCATCAGCAATATCCTCGGCGTCATCGACAACGACAAGGACGCCTCGACCTTCTGCCTTGTCATCAACCGGCCGCGCGAGGTGCGCACCCTCGTCGAGGTCTACCAGACGCCCAGCAGCGCCTCGGCCGCATCGACGACGATGGCCGGCCGGCCTCTGGAGCGGTACGCCGTCGACGGCCTCAAGCTGCGCCAGGTCATTTCGTCGAGCGCCTTGTCGCCGTCGTCGATCGCATGGTCCCGCAGCACGCCGGTTGAGGGTCCGCCGCGAGCGCCCTGCCTCATCGGCTTCACCCAGTCCTACGACCTCGTCCGGCTCGGCGACGCTTCGAAGGCTTCCCCCGCCGCCGGACCCTCGTCGTCGTCGATCCGAGGCATCGGTGCTGCCAGGAAGACGCTCTTCGACGACCTGTTCGGCCCGACACTGCTCGTCGGTTCCGCCGAGGCGGGCGACGACGACGACAACGAGGAACGGCGCGCCTCGGCTCTGGCCTCCGACGCATCGAGGGACGGCGCGGGCAAGGGCGGCATCGAGCACCTGTTTGCGACGCCGTCGCACCTGCTTCCGCCAGTCACCAGCCTGCTCGACTCGTTTGTCGATCGGGTGCTTCCGCCCCGCCGCGCCGCATCCACCGTCAAGGGCGCCGTCGGTGGAACCGCAGCGGGTTCAACAGCACAGCATACCGCCGGCACGACCGTGGACGGCCGGACCGAGGCCGACGAGGGAGAGATGGAGGTGGACGAGAAGAGCAAAGCGACCGAGACGACGCGGGAGCGCGACCTGCAGAAGGAGGTGCAGGACGTGCTGCTGGGTGACATGTCGTTCCTCGTCGATACGTTCCGGGGATTGCTCAACGGTACGTCGTCCTCGCCGCTCCCGGCCTGGTATCCTGCCTCTTGCTCGCAGCGACTGATGTTCCCTCCTCTCTACCTTCTTGCTATCGTACCCGCCCATCCTCGACTCGCAGGCAAACCATCCAACTCGACCTCGCCGTCGCCATCGAAGAAGCAGCCAGCGCACCAGGCCAGCCGGACGCCGAACGGAACGCCATCATCGACGCCCGCCCGCAGTGGCAAGAAGCGCAACCCTACGTCCTGATCCCATGCCATCCCATCCCCCGCTCCTCGTCCCACTGTCGCAATGCTACGCCGGCCGGCGTGACCTCATGAATGCTGCCTTCTCATCGTCGTCGAGATCGTGCTCTCGACTGCTCGCGTGATTTCCGACTCGGCGCGGCGCGACGTGGCCGATTAGAGATGCTTGAATGCGAAGGAGGGGTTGGTGGTACAGAGAGGAGGAGGGGTGGTAGGGGGTCCGCCGCTAGGTATCGCGGAAAGGGCAGCGGGTGCGCGGATGGGTGCCACCGCATCCGGGTACGTCGCAGATGTGTCTGTACTTGCACGTCCGCGCGCGACAGCGGAGGTAGTTGTAGTTCCGGCAAATCGGATCGACCTCGTCTTCTTCTTCCGCGTCGTCGTCCATGTTGACGCCGTTGTGGTTGTGCGGGAGGGCAACAAAGTCGGCTTGACGGCGCTGACGATCGTGGTTGGCGTTGGGCAGGGGACGGTTGAAACGATGCCGCTGGACGACTAGGACGAGTATGACTGGAGGCGTGCGTGGTGTGTCCTTTCTGGTTAGTGCCGCTCGCTTGCTGGCTCGAGAAAAGGGAGGGAGGAGCGGGGCGGGTACGTACCACCCAGAAGGCCGCAGAGGAGGAGGACGAGGAGCATGTTGACGCTCGTTGTACCGATGCTCCGGTTACGACCTGGTGAGGCGGGTTACAGACGGTGTCAGGGGTGAGCGATGCATCAAGCGGAGGATAGGTGAGGATAGAGCAGTGGCCCGACTTACTGACGTCGCTTGGTGTCGCCCGTCGTGCTGCTGGTGGTGGTGGTGGTGGTGTTGCAGTCAAGGTAGGGCAGGGTTGACCAGGGCTGTCAGAGACTTCTGGAAGAACAACCGCCCGCTGGCTCCGCTCCGCCTCGCCTCGCCTGGACCCGCTGCCCCCTCCACCCAGCTGCTACGGTAGCCTGGGACAGCCTTGCCCCCGAGATCCGAGTTGATCGGCGGGTGCAATCTAGCCAGCCCGCGTCGTTGCAGTCGACGGGCTGAGCTGCACCAACACGCTACAGGTTGTCGTCTGGGTTGTCAGCTAGGTGGCAAGCAGCGCTGGGCCATGTCGAGTCCTTTGAGATGGAGTAGGGTGTTGATCAACATGCAAGCTGCTCAGCGTGCACCCCATCCTCTGTCTGTCTCGTTGCAAAGGCGAGTAGAGTGAGGGCCCGCCCGCCACCCTCCACTCGACTCACGGCCTAGGTCGGAACCGAGCCTCGCTGTCAGAGAGGGTCCCTCGACGCCGTGCGTCGGGTCGCGTTGGGTCGTTTGCTCCTCCTCGCTCCTTGCCTCCGCACCACTCACCACCCGCGGCTTGCCACCTGCCGCCTCCCCGACCACTGACCACAGATCAGCGACCCTCCCGTCCACCATGGCGCAACGCAACCTGCCCGTCAAGCGCCACGACGGCGACCCCCTCAGCAGGGCCGACGTGCAGCACAACCTCCTCTGCCGCCTCTTTGCAGACACCCGCCGCGTCTTCACCAACCCGCGCCCCGGCACAGAACCACGTCCCGGCTCATCCAACATCACCCTCTCCAACGGCGCCCACGTACCCACCCCCGTTTGGCCCTACGGCACCTCCAAAGGGTGCACGAGGAGGAGCGACGAGACCCCCGAGGAGTTCGAAGCCTGGAGGGCCACAAAGGCGCGCTACGACAAGTGGAAGCGACGAATGGCCAGACGCGAGAGCGCAGCCCGCGCCGCAGAGCAGAGAAAGGCCCGCGACGCCATGGCGGCCGCCTCGTCGGCAGCAGCAGACGACGCCTCGCGCCCAGGGTCGAGGGACAAGGACAAGACGCCAAACGAGGAAGAGGACGAGCTGGCGGCCACCGCATCCGACAACGGCATCGACGACGACGGCGATCAGGCAGACCAGGCCGACGCTGCTGCCAGCGGCGACGAGGCCGAAGACGCCGACGACGACGAGCCGCTCGACGACGACGCCTTTGCCAAGCCCGGCTGCGACAAGCTCACCTTCAAGGAGCTCTACCTCGAGGCGCTCCTCAACAGCGGCAAGTGCACAAAGAGCATGCGCGACAAGATCATCCTCGACGAAGAGTACGCCGAGGACTTTGCCAAGGTCTGCCTGCTGGTCAACGTGGGGCGCATCAACACCACCCTCGCCTTCTATCCCGAGATGAAGACGGTGCTCCGCTCCTACCACCCCATCCCCTCGATGCAGAACAATGAAAATACCCGCCGCAACATGCAGGACGCACCCCGGATGAAGTCGCTCCTCAAGGCCGTGCTCCTCGACCACGAGCGCGCCAGCGCGCCCACCGCCGGACCCACGGCGGGCCAGCCGCCGCCGCCGCCCAAGCCGCCCAAGGTCAACCTGCTGAGCGACGAGGCGCCCGGCGACTTTCGCGAGACCATCAAGCGCTACCGCGACGGCACCCGCCCGCCTACGAGCGTCGTCACCCTCATCTTTCTCTTTTCCCTCCACGCCAACGACGTCACCGCCACCCACTTCCCGCAGCCGCACGACTCGCACGCCCTCTTCTACCCGCACCCCAGCCACCCGCTCACCGCCAAGCAGAGGGCCGAGGCGTTCCTCTGGCTCCTCTACCACTACCTCGAGGGCCCCGCCAGCGAGCCGCCTGCCGAGCTCGAGAACCCGTTTGACGACGACACGAGCAAGGCGGCCGCCAAGCTGGCCCGCGAGGCCTGGGATGCCCTCAGCGAGCAGGACAAGCAGAAGCACGCCGGCCTGCCGTGGAAGGGCCTGCCCAACCCGCAGTGGGCCAAGTGGAAGGCGCAAGAGGACAAGCGCAGAGAGTCTGGCGGCGCCGGCGCGGTCGCTGCTGCCCAGTCAAAGGATGGCGCTGCGCACGGCAGGGCCGAGGCCACCGGCGACGGCGACGGCGATGTGTCGATGAAGGACGATGACGCCGGCGACGACGCAAAGGCGACTTCGGCCGACGGCGAGATCCTGGTCGAGCCGCCGTCGCACACCCACCGGCTGCTGGTGCCGGCGCTCGATGTGGTGCCATTCGAGCAGGCCGTCGCCGAAAACCTCGACGCCGAGGAGGAGGTCCGGTGGGGAAAGCAGATGCAGTCGGAGCGCGCCGCCTTCTTGGCCAGGTTCCAGGAAGAGGAGGCGGTCAAGAACGCCGGCGGTCAGGCGGCTGGTAGCCCCGCACCGTCGACGGGGACCGCGGGAGGCAAGGGGAGAGGGCGAGGGGCGCTCGCCAACCTCAAGCGAGAGGAGCACGACCGCGGCGCCACTCCCTCCGACGCCGACGGCAGCTTCGCCTCGACCGGCCGCGGTCGCCGCCGTGTCCACCCGCTGGCATCGGCGACGTCGGCTCCGGATCCGAAGCGCTCCCGTATCGCGCAGGGCTACGACGACTCGCCAGAGACGACGCCGTTCCACCACTTCCCCGGATCAGACGGCGCGGCACTCGACGACGGTGTTTCTGCCGCCGGCTTGGCAGGCGGAGGCGGAGGCGGAGGGGACGACTACTACGATGCGGCCGCCGTCAATGCGACGCGGACGCGTCCGTCGCTGTGGGACCTGGACCTGTCGCTGTCGCGGGCGCAGATGCACGAGTCGCTGCCGCAGCTGGCGTGGACGCGGATCCTGGACCGGGCGCAGCGCGGCGTCGGCGATGCGTGCTACGAGAGCGACGACGACGAGTTTGCCGAGGAAGAGGCGCAGGCGGGCGAGCGTAGCCGCGGCGAGGTGCTGCGTATCCTCAAGAGCCTGCGCGCCGTCGTGCCCGAGGACGTGTTCAGGGAGCACAACGAGGCCATCGCCCAGGCGTGGGAGGGAGAGGGTAGGAGGATGGCGGCCTGAGGCGCAGCTGCGCTCTGCCCGCGCGGAGGATCCGGGTCGGTTCGGTTCAGGAGGCCGAGGTGTCGTGTGATTGTCAGCGAGCGTCATCGCGATCGACTCATACCATTCGCACAGGCCAGATCGCAACGTCGCTGCGAGACACGAGCGAGCGCGAGGGGATAGTCGGTCGTTGCAAGCAGAGGGCGGAGAGGTGGAGCTACTTTTTGGCCCTCTTCTTCCGCTTCTTGTGGGCCGACCCTGCCGCCGAGGGTGTCGCCTGCTGCTCTGCCGCTGCGCTTTTGTCCGACGCCGGTGTAGAGGTGCTGGCGGGCTCGTCGATCTTGCGTTTCGCCGGCGTCTGCGGCTTTTCGTAGCCTGCGAGCAAATCGGCAGTGGGCGAAGAGTGGTGGGATCAGCTTCTGCGCTCTCTCGCTTCCTCTCTCTCTCTCTCTCGCGCTGCATCTTTGTTCACATCGAGGCGGGGGGGGGGGGGGGGGGGGGGGGGGGGGGCGGCACTCGACC